AGTCAACCCACTTCTATGATTCTTAATATAATATGATTACATATTGGGCATGACAAGTGTCAAAATACTACATAATTTAAAAAGTTTGATTTATTTGATCGCAATAAAACCTGATTACGTCTCTACCAGGATAAAAGTTGCCTGAATGAAGCCAATTATGGGCCGATTCACAAGAGTTTAAATACTGTATATGGAAGAAAGGCTCTTGATTTTTGTTTGGTGACAAAACAGGAAAAGAAGAAAGAAGATATCTAATAAATTATATAAAGAAATTCAGGTTTTCGAATCGTTGCTTAATGACTTCACGTCGATTGACCACTCATTAGAACTGCGAAGTTGGGTTGAAAGAATGCGTACGTTGGCCTCAGTGGGAACCATAGGAGAGTCCTGATCTGTCATATCTTCAGATCTACTAATAGGCTCATCGTTTGCTAAAGTTTCCTTATGGAGCGGATAGCTTGTGGCGATATCTATCACATGACAGGCATCAACACAGATGGATGGGTCACATAATGGTGCACTTAGGCCTTCTTTGAACAAATAAAGAGTCAACTACAGTTGGTGAATCCCAACTTTTCAAACAAAATGAAAGATCCGATGATAAGATAAGATAAATTGTAAGTGCAATTGGAGAATAAAGAAATAAGTAGGAGAAAAAAGTTTTAAGCAACCAATAACAAATAAAAATAGGTATACGAGCTGATGAACTCACGTATATAATGAATGTTTGTGTTTACTAGACAGGTAAGTGTGAGTGCCTCGCCCTCAGTCACCTCCACAACTTTTGCTACGGTCTCCACCACATTCAAAAACCCAGTTTTTTCAGGCGTGTCTGCTCGATATCCATTCAGCAAAGTGTTATGTGGCGATGGGCTTCGCTGCTCCGCCAGACTTGGCAGCTCTCCCCGGCCTGTCAAAGCCGTCATCGAAGGAGCCAGGGGAGGCGTTGGAGGCAGCGATCGACCACGGCCAACGCCTCGCCGTAATTGGGCTGCTGGGTGGCTACTACTAGAGACCGACATCGAATTGGTAGAGGCTGCAAAACTGAGACCAGATAATTCTGAACTGAATCCGCTGGCACCGACACCGCCAGCACTGCGCAGACCGAGGCTGGAGCCAGTTCGGCCCAATCCTCCAGGTTGTGACTCAACATGGACGAATCCAATACTGCGATCACGGCCGTATCTATTGTGCGCGATACAGGTATACATTCCGGAATCTGAGATGTGCAGAGTGTGAACAGAAAGGCTGGTACGGCCATGCTCATGGTCAGTAATTATCTGGAAACGTGGCTCCAAAGTGTCAGGCAAAAGTTCAAAGCCATCCTTCTCCCTAAACAAACAAAGAATTGGCATTTACGTATATAAAATAATAATGGAGATGCATAAGCCGTTAAGTTTTATTTATAAACCGTGCTTTCTGTAGTATAATTAGTTGTACCTGTACATGCCATACTAAATAAGAACGATATATGTGGAGGATCTGTATTGGAAATAAGACCGTTTGGAGTTAAATGGCGAGTTAACGCAGGACAATAACTGAAATAGATGATTCG